GAATGTCTTTTTGGTATCTAAAAGCTCATGTTCTTATCTCATTTTTCTGGGCAAGCATTAGCATGTGCATCTCAGAGCAATGGTAAGGGGATCAGGATTTTAAATTTTTTGTGGCCTCATGTTCATTCATTAGCACCTCTTAGTCTCGGGTTACCTGTGTGTAAAATGGCAACATTAATACCTATTCAACATCGCCTTTTCTACTGTGCACCTCTTGTGAGACTGAAATGAAACAAAAGGTACAATTGGGCTCTGTCATCAGAAAAGCTTTTAGTTTCCTTTGTTCTTAGGTTGAACTCAATAAAGCCATAAATTTGCCAGGGTATTAACCTTAAGAACGATCTACTAATGCCCTTCACTGAACATTGTGCCCTGGAGGTTATGCAGATTTGAGGTGAAATATGATGGGAAAGTCCAATTACCACAAAAAATAGTACCTGGGTTAGTTGCAAGATATAAAAATTGGTAAACAGGCTCTCCCCCAAGCACATAATCAATACAGATTAAAGAAAAAAGTCATCCCTAGTAGCAATGGAAATGCTCAGTGATAAAAAATGAATTCAACACAGATTTGAGACTAAACAGTCAAAGAGAATCAGAGAGGCTGTTTCCAGATTGAGCTCTGTGGAGAGAATGGAGTTATCTTAGATCATGGGGACCTCCTATCTTCTTCTTGGAGTTTCCTAGCACAATCCTAGATGTTTGCCTTATCCCATCAAAATGTAAACTGTAGATTCTCGAATTGCCAGGTCATAATGGCTACTTATTCTGTTCTCTAGAACCAAGGTCTGCTATATTTTTAGATTTAACATCCTTTCCACAATAGTACTCACTTTTGGGGACAGGTTTGGGGAATAATTTCTAGTATAAAGGAATCCAGCTTAGGAGTCTTAGATCATTTTCCAGAAGAAAAACTGATGAAATAACTGAGAGAATAAATTGCTGAGAAGACTAGACTGAAAAGACAACTGTGGGGACCAGTAGATGGCATAATGGTTACGTTGCTGGCCTCCCACATGGCTATCTGTAGTTGGAGGCCCAGACCTGGCGACTTGAAACTCACACCGGGCGCATGTACCTGCATGCTCAAAATCCCAAGAGGAGAATAGAGGAGAAGGGATTGTGGTATGGCCATCCCCTATGGGAGGTGATTTCTCGCTTTCTGTCTGTCTCTCCAGTGACCGCATGTACCCCATAGCAAAAATCTCTCTTGAAAGAAAAAAAAAAAAAAGAAAACTTTGTTATGAGCTGAGTTCTGTCCCCCTTACCTCCCTCATGTTAAAGCTCTAGACCCCAGTATCTCAGATTCTCACCTTATTTTCAGATAGGATCTTTACAGAGGTAATCAAGTTAAAATGAGGTCATTAGGGTAGGCTAATGACTGGTGTTTCTTATTAAAGGAGAAAATTTGGACACAGAGACACACAGAGATAGAAGATGATGTGAGGAAACAGAGAGGAGATTATTTGTGTACCCATGAGAATTTTCAGCAGAAGGTGACCTCAACAAAGGAGGATTTTAACAATCAAGAGGACAGGATGATCCACTTTGTGCATACTCATCAGTCTCTTTTCCCAGCCATCCCTGTCATTGCCCAAAGGGCTCATGAGCAAAGTGGTCATGGTGGGAGGGATGGAGCAACATGGTCTTCCACTCACCAAGGCCAACCTGGCTCTGGCCACTGCTGTTGCCCAGTCTACCATCAGTAGAGAACAATTCTGAGTCATTGATATGACACTATTCCCTAGAATAGTCAACCAGTTACTTGGTAGCAGGGTAAGTACACTGAACTGAGTGCATCATGAAAGGGGCAGCATTTCGTACTTACTGGAATAGACATTTACTCTAGATGTAGATGTGCCTACTCTGCATGCAATACTTCTGTCAAAACTACCATCCATGGACTGAATGCCTTATCCATAGTCATCGTATTCACATAGCATTATTTCTGATCAAGTAACTCCCTTCCTGGTAAGTAAAGTGTGCAGCGGGCCCATGCTTGTGGAATTCACTGGTCTTACCATATTCCCCACCATCCTAAAGCAGCTGGCTTGACGGAATGGTAGAATGGCCTTCTGAAGATCCAGTTACAGCACCAGTGAAGTGACAGTTCCTCACAGGGCTGAGGCAAGGCTCTCTGGAAGGTTGGATAGCCCTAAATCAGTGCCCAGAATATGGAGCTACGAGTCCTCCAGTCAGGACACATGGGGCCAGGAACCAAGAGAGGTAATGCAGTGGCATTACCTCTATTATACCTAGTGGCCTACCACCCAAATTTTTGCTTCCTGTTCCTAAGACTTTATGCTTGGCTGGGTAGAGCTCTTAGTTGCAAAGAAAAGAATTCTCACACCAGGAGATACAACAATGAGTCCACTGAACAGGAAGTTTAAACTGCCACTTGGCTACTCCTTGAGCCTGTTCAAATGAACCAAACTGATTCCATCTTTGGGTCACTCTTCTGCTGTGCCTTACAGTAATCTTTCACTAGCCCTGAGCAGGAGTTCTGCTTAAGTTAAATTCTCACCTGGGACAGTCATTCAGATTCTAATCAAGATAACACCTTGAGACACTAGTTTTAACAAGAGAAAGGCTAACAATCTTTGACCCCAGAGCAGTCATGTCTCTCCAGGTGTCTATCTCCCCCTGACCTCAAGCTCAGGGCAGTCATGTCTTCTCCAGGTGACTTGCTCCCTCCCCACCACAAAGCATACACAAGTGTGTCCCTCTGTTCAGCTCCTCTAAAAGTTTCAACTCACTGTGGGAGGGCACGGAGCAGAATCTGCAGCTGCACCTGTATGAGGGCTGTTTGTCCAGCTGATCCTGTTTTCTTCCCTCTGTAAATGACCCTTTGATATTAAACATCCATTAAATCCTTTATGGAGTTGCCTGCCTCGTTTTTCAGTTTCAGAGCCCAGTCATACAATGCCTCTAAATCAATAAACAAAAAAGGGACTTATTGTGCTGGCTGGGTTGATTGATTTCCACCACCTAGAAGAAACTGTAAGTACTGCGACTCCACGCAGAGGGAAGGAAAAGTATGTCTGGAATACAGGAACTCCCTTAGGTCTCTTAGTATTATCATGTTCTGTGATTAAGGTCAAGGGAAAATGTCTACAACCTGATCCAAGAAGAAATGAAGGTTTCAATCATCCCACCAGGAGAATCACAGCTAGCTCAAGGGCTTGCTGAAGGCAAAGGAAATACAGAATGAATAAGTAGTGAAACAAGGTAATTATAAACACCAGCTGCAACTATATGACCAATTACAGAAATGAAGACTAATTGTCATGAGTATATCCTCCTTGTTTTCTTATGAATAGATCCCCCTGTGTGTGTATAACAAATAACTTTATTTTGTTCACTCTCTTATTCCCTTATTATTAGCATCAGATGTCTTGACTTTACATCATAGTATTTAAACACTGCTCATATGATACCACAGTATTTAAGATAGAGGACATAAGCAAGAGAATAAAAATTACTCAGGGACTTTAATTCCTCTTCTGGGGAAAGGGTTAGTGTGTTTTTGGTTGTACACAAGATGTTGTATTATGTTAGATGAAACATATGTTAATTATGACCTTGCTATTGCATTTATTTGAAGATTAGGTATGGTTTAAGGAGATGCATATGGGTGCCAGTGGACAAGAGGTGGACTTTTGTTGACTGAATCAAAGGGTGCCCAAATATTTGGACAAATATTCTGAGAGTTTCTGTAAGGATTTTTTGGGATGAGATTAACATTTCATAATCTTTTATCTTTTATGCACAACACAGAGAAAGAGAGACGGCACTCCAAACAGACTCTACACCGTAATTCATCTCCAACCTTCAGCCAGTCTCAGATCATGAGTAAACGTGTACCCAGTGTACTCAGGGAGGTCTCTGGACTTGAACTGGGAACTCTGCAGATTTTGGACTTGCCAGCCTTCATTATCATATGAGTCAATTTCTTATAATATCAGTTTCTCACTCCCTCTCTATCTCTGTCTGCTATTGGTTCCATTTCTCTGAAGAACCTTGACCAAACAGGAGAATGTGAGGAAAGTAGAAGGAGAAGAGGACATCACAGTGACAGACCTCAGGTGCAGATGTTGGATGGTTGAGAGCTCATGAGGATGGGAAGGGAGGAAACATACGGAGACAAGAGCTTCAGAAAGACAAGGCCTGCCTATTTCCCCATGTGGACCCAATTAGACAAATGCATACATAAAAATGTAGAATTGTGTGATAGGCAAAGTTAGAAGCCACAGCATTTTTACAAAATAGATTTACAGGAACACTTTTTGGAGCTGCTGCCTTTTGCTCTACGTATTTGCTCCAGGATTGTATTAGCCCTCTAGGATTTCCTCCCAAACCAGGTACTTCTGTGTCTGACAAGACTACCAAGGACCTGTGGGAGCTTTGTAGCAGCTCTGCCTGAATCTGGCTCTTACCTCGGAGGATGGTGACATTGCGAAGTATTTCTCCGTGATGCGTGTCCACAGCCTTCATCTCCTCCACGATCATGGAGAGGTTGCGGACGTTGAAGTCCAGCCTGGCGCTGAGTAGGCTGAAGCGCTCTCGGAGTAGGTCTGTGGTGCCCAGCATGAGGGAGACAGACTTGTTAAGGTAGTAGAGCTCCTCTGCGTGGGTGTGAAAGCCCAGGGTGCAGGAGAGCCGCACATCATCCAGGTACTTGAGCATGCTGTGTACGTGGCTGTCGGTGGCATTGATGTTGGTGAAGATGGTGCTGATTTCAATCTCATGAGAAGCCATACGTCCTTCTAGTGACTCGAACCTCTCCACTGTGCGGTTTTGGGCATAGCGGGTGTGGTACTGAAGGTCATGCATGTTCTCCTCATGGTCATCCAGAAAGGATGAGATGTTATCCAGCTGCAGCTGCAAGCCCATGGCCTGCAGCACCAGGTCATGCATGCTCTCAGAATTCTGGCTGATGCGCTGTGAGGAGGCTCCCAGGGTGGCCTGGATGCTCTTGACCGCTTCTCCAGTCTTGGTTGAGGTGGCACGTAGGTTACTGAAGAGTCGAGTGTAGTTCTGCCAGTCAGTGACAATCTTCTGGAGGGTCAGGGTCTCCTCATCTGTCTTCCTCTGGATCCCGTGAATCCACTCTGAAGTCTGCCCCACTGTGAAGTTGATTTGGTGCACTGCAGCCTTAACATCATAGCACTCCTGGGTGAGGTCCTTCAGAGAGAGGTCCAGGCCAGTAGTGGTGGCCTGCCAACCTCTCATCTGGGCCAGAAAGAGCCCCAGAGACTGGTTGACCTGATGGATGGAAAAGGAGCAGCTTCCCATCTCCTGAGAGATCTGACTGTTGGTGGTGGAGAGCAGTTCATGGGCCTGAGAGGTCTGGTCTAGCTGGACCTCCTGGGCCAGAAGCATCTTCTGAATTCCTTCCAGCTCCTCTTGCAGTTTCCTGATCTCTTGCCCCAGTTGCCCAGCCTCATGGCAGAAAGAGCAGTTGTTCAGGGCTTTCGGATCTTCAGGAGAAAGGGACATTTTGAGCTGCTGAAGGATCATGGGACAGTGGTTGCTTCTTTAAATTAAATATTTCAGAGCATAATGAGTTGGCAAGTGCCTTCCCAATCCCACTTTCTTTCCTAAGTCCTGCTATGAAATCTTTCTCAAAAGAGCCTTGCTAAATCTATGGAATCTCATTCTTACCAAATGTCTTGAACATGATGTGAAATGTAGGATTTAGAATGTTTTCTCCACCTCATCACCAAATTCTCAAGAATATCTTTATAATTTTGCTAAAGTGACCGAGAACCTCCTATTTACACTTTATTTAAACATTTCTTTGGACTAGCAGTTGGCTTAATGGCTATGTCCCTGCAGTTCGAGTCTCGGACTTAGTGGCTTAAACTCACACTCGGTGCATGTGCCTACATGCCCAAGATCCCAAGAGGAGAATAGAGGAGAAGGGATTGTGGTAAGGCCATCTCCCCTAGGGGGTGATTTCTCACTTTCTGCCTCTTTGTCTCCCTCTGTCTTTCTGGTGAGCATACACGCCCTATAGCAAAAACCTCTCAAAAATTTTTCTCTAAATACATTTCTGTTATCTTATTTGATCTTCTCACGATAAACCTATGGAGAAGGTAGCACAGAGATTTTCACCCTGTGATTCATGAGGAATGAGGAGGTAAGTGGCTTGCCAAATATCCCTTAGCTAGTAAGTGGCAGAGTAGGACTTCCTATTTGCTTTAGAGCAGACCCCCTCTGAACCCTTCTATCATGACTATTCTCTTAGAAGGCTTCTTGTTAAGGCGGGAGGTAGAGAGCACCATAAATTGTAGAATGGCTTAAGGCAGTGAAGAGTAAAGACTGTTAAAGACTTAAGGCGATCTTAAAAAATCATTTCAGGGGACCAGCAGGTAGCATAATGGTTACGTGGCTGGACTACCACGTAATCAACTGCAGTTCAAGTCCTGAACCTGGTGGTTTAAAACTCATGCTGGGTGCATGTGCATGTGTGCCCAAAATCCCAAAAGGAGAATGGAAGAGAAGGGATTGTGGCATGGCCATCCCCCCTAGGGGGTGACTTCTTACTTTCTGTCTCTCCAGCAACTGCACGTGCCCTATAACAAAAATCTCCTTAAAAAAAAATTTTTTTTTAGATGCATGAGGGTATTTGGGGATTGGACTATATTTGATTTCTTCTCTACCTGTAGACTCTGACTAGACCTGTCCATGCATTAGGTCATCAGAGAAGTCATCACATAATTTTGCATAGAAAAACAGAAAAATACATTGTGAGTTTTCTGATGACCCAATAGAACCCCCAGCCCCAGTCCCAGGTGCCTCCCAGGATGCAGCCCTTTTTGAATAGATTAAGTTTGGAAGAGATGGAAGCAGGGGACTGTGGCTTTCCTTATATTGTGCCTAGAAGGCTAGTAAAGCCTGTCCTGCTCTGGGGTGCCATGCATAGAAGGCACTCTGTCTCACCCCGATTAATACTGGCCTTACATCATATGAAATCATTTTAAAAAGTTTGTGGAGGGACCAGCAGTTAGCGTAATGGCTATGTCACTGGACTCCCACGTAGTCGACCACGAGTCCCGGACCCGGTGGCTTAAACTCACGCTGGGCGCGTGTGCATGAGTGCCCAAGATCCCGAAAGGAGAATGGAGGAGAAGGGATTGCGGTGTGGCCATCCCCCCTGGGGGGTGATTTCTCGCTTTCTGTCTCTCTGTCTCTCTCTGTCTGTCTGGCAAGCACATGTGCCCTATAGCAAAAACCTCTCCAGAAAAAGAAAAAAAAAGTTTGTGGAGAAGTCACCTTAAAGTAAGAATTTATGTTGGTGCAAAAAAATTTTTAAACTCATGCATAGTTTTTCAAATAATATCCATTTTCCATGAACTTTTATGAGACCTCTCCATAGTGATTAGCATGTCTGGACACTGGACACTCACCCAGCCCTTGGAGATTTTCCTGCATTGACACCAGCTTCTTGTCATAAATGGACTGGGCCAAGGAGATGTCTTCTGAGAGAGAGTCCACTTTCCTGAAAACTGCAGAGAAAACAGATGGGAAACGAGGGCAGGGTCTTAGGTCAGAGAAACAGTAGCTTTGTTGAGAAGGCATTTTTATTAGCCTCTTTGCAACCAAAGCCATTCACTCTTCTCCAGTGAGGCGTCCCCAGAGCTTGTCACATATCTCTTTTAAAAAATAATAATTTGGGGTCAGCAAGGGGTATGGTGGTTAAGGTGCTGGATTCCCATATGGTCAACTGTGGTTTGAGTCCCAAACCTGGCAGCTTGAAGATCATACTGGGTGTGTGTGGTGTGGTGTAATGCGGTTTGGTGTGTGTGTGTGTGTGTACATATGTGTGTGCCCAAAACATCAGGAAGAGACTAGAGGAAAAGGGATTGTGGTGTGGCAATCCTCCCTAGGGAGTGATTTCTCACTTTCCCTCTTTCTGGTAAGTGCATATGGCAAAAACCAAAAAAAAAAAAAAAAATTAAAAAAATTTAAAAATCCCTATTTTTGAGGACACTTAGGGTACCTCCTCCTCTGAGTTTATAAATAAAACTTGATTTTAAAATATGAGTAATGCTTGATCCTAAAA